TACACAATATATCAGTTTGGTCAATGCGAAACAATCGCATTGATAACATAAATACACAAGTGCACAGCAATACCGTATAATAATGTATTACTGATGTGTACAGCCAATCACATCAGTGCATTACGGTAACCTGTCGTATGCTATTCGTCCGCATATCAGTGACACGTTACCTTTAAAATTTTCTTTTTTTTTCTTTTCTATGTGATCGGTTTATCGTTTTATTTTTATATTATTCTGCTTTTCCTTAATTCAATATCGTCACAGGTTTGTCTTTATTTATTTAATATTGTCGCAAGTTTGTTAGTTTTACTATTGTTGTCATTGAAAGGTGTTACATATCAATGCAATGCAAGGTTAACGTTATAATATGTGCGTCACATTTGATATCATCATGTTTTTCGTTACAAACCTTCGCAAAAACGCAACAAAACAGTACAAATACATAAATACACAACAGTACAGTTCATCTCATATGATTAATGTGTTATGAGTGAATATCGATGGTTCGAATCACGTATCACTGATATGTTATCATCCTACACAACAGTACTTTCCATAGCATGTCGTTGCGAGTTGATATTCATTGCTGTATATGAGTAGCACTTATCAGTTTGTGACACTGATGTGATATCGTAAAACATGAATGTTTCAAACTAATCATGTATTTGTATCCCGTGTTGTGTGTTATTTTGTGACATATTTGTTCGTTATCGTCACATATCCGTAGGTTGCTGTAGTTGGATGAGTTTGCATGTGTTTGTTTGTTTTTCGTTGCCTTCTTAACATCTGTTCTTTCGCTATCGGGCAGGTGCTTCCCACTGCTTCAGGTAACCTTTCGTGTTCTTCTTGTCTGATGCTTTGCTTTTGTTGTGTTCGTTTTCCAGTGCTATCTGCAGATTGGCCATGAAATGGACTTGTTCACATATTTTTTTAAAGTTTCATTGTCAAGGTAATAATGAGCATGAGTGAAGCTCTGTCAATTTGCAGCTATGCTTCATGGCCACCGTACCACCGTTCGGTTTTGAAGTGTACAAACTGCACTCAACACCAAATGCGGTAGGTGGTGGCGCATCGAAAGTATCGTTACGATCCAGAAAGAAAATCACTTCGAGGTTTGTGTTGACAGTNTTATCGTTTTTTGATTTTGAGGAGAGGGTTTTGTTGTTCTGAAGCATCTTTTTAGTGAGCGGTTTAATATATCTGCTCGTTTGTTTTGTTTTTGCAATCCAGTCGGATTGGTTCTGAGTTAATTCCGATAAAGTAATGAATGTGTTGTGTTGCAACTTCAGTGACTTTATGACGGAGTTGATTCAAGAGCCGTATTTCGATCTGGACAATGAGTTCGTCGAGGCGCATTTCGATGCAACAACTGGACTGCTGAAGGTGGAAATTTGAACTTACTCACCTATGAACCGAATATTTTTGTTGGGTTTTGTAAGAGAATTTGTTTTTTTGTTTCGTTCTGAACCGATGGATATTTCGGGCGATCACTTAAGATGTTCATATGAATTAGCTTGATTCGAGTAATTTCTTTGCTTGATTGCAGTCAGTGACACCGAGCGATGGGCATGAAGTGAGCGTTAACTTGTCGTTTGTTCAATATGGAGTGCGATCGAAAAATCCAGGTGGATTCGATTGGCTCGATTGATTTCCTGTTTTGATTCAGTTTATTTCAGGATCTTTTTTGTTTTTCGAATCAAGATAATGATAGTAATAATGATAACAATGCTAAAGAAGATATTCGTGAAAATGATTTACAACACGAGAGAGTGTGTGTTTGTGAACGAATTTGAGTAAGCTCTATTGAAATTTTAAGGGAAATTCCAAGGAGGTGACGACTTGTCCGGTGCATATTTATTCTTACCGAATGGTCCAGCGCGAGAAATGCGTCCTCAAAATGGTTATCAATATGTAGTTGTTGATGGACCGATCATGAAGAAGGTTGCAGATTTTGTTGATCATTATTATTTTGTTTATTGTTGTTGATGTTGTTGTTGTTGTTGTTGTTGTTGTTGNTGATACTATTCGCCGGATCAGCCTTCGTGCAAATTGAAAACGACGTTGATGTACGAGCAACGTACAACTTTGAAGTGGCAATGAGACTAAGCTCCTCAGTGAAAAGCCACGATGAATTGTATACGGACTTGAATGGATATCAGGTTCATTTATATGTTGTTATAGACAGATATTTACGATTGTTGTCATGGTTTATTATTGCTTGCTATTAGTGATTGCTATTGTTATTTTGTAATAATATTTCAGATGATTAAACGTAAACGTTTCGCGAAACTCCCGCTTCAAGCACATTTCTATCCGATGCCAACGAGTGCATTCATTGAGGACAATTCGAATCGTATGACAATTTTCAGTGCGCAGTCGCTCGGTGTAGCGAGTCTGGAATCAGGTTATTTATTTCTCGTTGCGATTGTTAATTGTTGTTTTGTTGGTATTTCAGCTGTTTTTGAGATGTTGTGGTTGTATGTGTGTATGATTATTATAATGTTGTAATTGTGAGATATTCATTTCAGGCTGGTTAGAAGTAATGCTCGATAGGCGATTGAATCAGGACGATGGCCGGGGACTGTTTCAGGTTCGTACTTTTTTGGGGGGAGTCAGAGGGTGTTTAAGGTGGAGGGTTTAAAGTTTTGAAGATGGAGGGAGGAGGGAGAGCATTCATGTTGTTGAGGTAATATTAGTTTTGGGAAAGGATACGATTGGAATGTGAGTTTATCGATAATGTTTTTGTTATTGCAGGGTGTAACAGATAATAAGATAACGCGAAGTAAATTCCGGTTGTTGATTGAACCGTTAGATGTGAACAAGCGATTGAACCGAGAGCCGGACTCAAAATCGACAACGACTGCGTATCATTCATTGGTGGGACATTATGTGTCGTTGCAGTTGCAATACCCTCTGATGAGTATGTTCAGCAGTGCGGGGCAGAGTGAGTTTGTTGTTGTTATTATTGCAGAAGGGGTTTTTGGAACGCTTTGAAAAGGTGTGTGAATAGTGATATATAAGTGCGTGCATTCATAGTGATTTGTGAATGATAATGACAATTTTTCGGGATGTTCGTGATTGGTGATAGTATTGAATAACGGCAATATTAATTAATGACAGTATTCATTAACGATAATTAATGATAGTATTCGTTGGCATACTCTACAATGAAACGCAATGTTCTATTGAATCAGTTTGCCAGCGTAGCTGCCTGGGGCCAGGGAACTGTCTGCTACATATAGTAATGAGTACAATGATAATACGATAATATTCGGGAACATTTCAGGTTTGCAAACGACATATTTCGGTCTCTCGGAAGCACTACCGTGCGATATACATGTGGTGACGTTTAGAACAATGGCTTCGCCGACGGATTACAATGAGGAAAGTAACAAAAAATATGCACCGGCCAAATCGAAAGCATTGATTTTGCATCGTTTGGGTGCGGAATGTGGCTCGAAGTTAAGACTGCACTCGTTTTGTTCGACGTCAGATGGAAAGGTGGGTACCTCAATTATTTAGAGTTCATCGTTCTGTTATTATTGTTTTCACTGTTATTGTATAATTCATATCGAAATGAAAAGAAATTCGCGTGGAAATAGGCCATTATTGATGTGTAAATGAATGTTATTCATTCGGAAGTGTGAATGGAAACACTGAATGCTAGTAACAATTTTCATTTGAATTTATTTGATTTCATAGAGTGATTTTATGATTCATTTCATAAACCGAATATATTGGGATTATGCCATACTTTCAGGTAAAAGTATCGAAACTTTTCGAGGGTAAGCCAACTCGGATCAGAGAAACATCATTAACACTTCTCTACGAAGGGAACAGCAACGATAACTTCGATGAAGTTCAAATAAAACCAATGGATATGCGCACGTTCCGATTGGATTTTACACGAGGATTTTCATAGGATCATCATAATCCGGGATATTCGAAGTTGCCTCTAATGAAGAGATGACTGATTGGTTGATTTAATGATAGATCAACGATATTGAGGAGCGATTCGATGCTTTATTGTGATTATTATTGTCTTTATTAATGGTATTGATATTGGTGTTGGTATTGTTATTATTATTATTATTGTTATTGGTGACATTACGTTTGCCTTCCACTGAACAGCAAGTAATGCAATGTTTCTTTTGTTTTCACTGAATTTCTCATTTGTTTGTGTAAATTCGTTAATTTATACGCATATTGAAAAGTGAAATTCATTCACTGAATTGTTTATTTATTAGTTGTTGATTTATTATTTATTGTCATTGGCCATCTTCTGAATGTGATCATTTTGGCTTGATTTTCACTAATGAGCATACAACTGTGATCGAATCGAATAATTTGTTGTTGAGCGAGCGATTTTAAGCGACTTGATTCATTGTATTTATCGTTATTATTATCAGCTGCTATCATTATCTCACGAATGCATATCGATGGATGTGTAGTGTATGGATTTAAATTGGTTTTTACGTTGTCAAGAAATTTGGCATAATTTTGTGGACTGAAATGAGCGATCGATTCAATTGTTACTTCATCATTTTGTACATTCGTTTTTATTGGTTCGTTTGTTTGTTTGGTGTTGTACTTAATTTATCAGATTGCTGACTTATTACTATTGTTGATGAAAGTTCGGATTGGAAATGAAAACAGTTAAATAAACCGTAATTGGTATCAGTTTGTTGGTCGTTATTACTAAATGTGATTAACAAGTCACTTCAGACATATCTGTTTTTTTGTTTTAATTGTTTATGAGGTTGATTTTGGCTCGTTGCTTTATAAATTGTAAGGTTTTGGAATCAGTGAGAGTTTTGATGAAAGATGTCAGAATATTGATGAGGCATCAGTGAGTTAGATTCAAGTATAGAAAGCTGATTTAAGAGATCAGTGAACCAGATCAAAACAGTTTTGATCTCTTCTTCAGCAATGTCAAATAATGAGGAAGATAGAGTGGTTCGAGCAAAGAAGGTCACAAAGCATGAGAGTACGATCGTATTGTTGGATGTGGGAGTGAATATGACAAGGAAGGGTAGCAGTCATCAAGATGATACAGATGAACGTAGCGATTTTGAGAAGGCAAAGGAGGCATTGGACTGGATTTTGACTAGAAAGGTTCATTAATTGGGCAGAAACTTTAGATTTTGTTTTTTTTTTATTATTCATGGTTCAATTGAAATTTTTGGAGCGCAATTTATCTCAGCCGAAGTGAATGTAATCGGAATTGAAGCCAACATCTATTGATAAAAGCATCAGTGAGTTCTCTACCTGTCTGGTGACAAAGTTTTTGAGTGCTCATCAAAGAATTTCACTGATCGATAGTTGTGTCATGCAGATTTTCGCGAAATCACCAGATGAGTTCACGATAATTCTATTCGGAAGCGATAAAACACGATTGTGCACTAATTGTGCGAATGAAGATGGAACAACGAATATTTTCTTTTGTGAAGATGAAATGCAAACTGCAAAAATGGATTGGTTGAAGTTGATTGATAAGGAGTTGAAGACAAGTGATAGTGTCAAGGGTGATTGTAAGTGTTCACATGGATATTCGTTCAAAATTATTATGAATGTGTTTTTGGTTGTGTACATGCAGAGTTTTATGTTTCATGAGGTCAATCCATCTGACAATAGGCCGGAGAACTTGAGGCTGATATGAATATCATAGACTTCCTTAACATGGAACGTAGCTTGAGTTTAAGCCTGAACCTGAAGTCAGCCGGAACTTCTTAATCTATTCTATAATCAATTGTTCATGACTGATTACAGCATGGTGACCATTTGTACTGAAGAGAATGAATTTCAGTTGTGAGCGCATTGATAGTCGCCATTGACTATATGCGATTGTGCATGGAACAGGCGAAAGAGGGAGAAATGACGGCTAGAAATATATTGTTGTTGAGTAATTTGATGGGATTGGATGATGCGAGTGATAGTGATAACGCTGACAAAGAGGCGATTATCAACTCGATACGAGCTCTGGATATCAACTTCAATGTGATGTGAATTGGTTTGATATTGAAGCTCCGTCTTGTTGGGATCAGTTCAATCTCTTATTTGTGCTATTGGATATTCTCAGATAAGGAGTGAAGCACTGTTTTTGAATGTCTTATTTATCGGACTTAATGATTACCCATCGGACTTATGCAATGGCTTCAGTGGACCATCAATATGTAGCGACGGAGGGCCGTCGCGTGATAACAATGTGAAAATGGAGGAAAGTGAACATGAGGCAATGGATGTTGGTGATATGAAGTCGGATGTTGCTGAGAGTCTGATGGAAGATATTGCGAACAAAGTAGACGGCGTGATTTATTCATTCTCGTAGGTTTTTACTGTTGTGGTGATTATTGTGTTATGTTATTTTTTGTTTTATATTGTAATTGCTTTGCTATTGTTGTTTCGTTATGGCATTAGTTTCATTATTATTTTAGTTATGTCATAATTGTTCGTATCAATTTGGTGATATTGTTGCTGTCATGGGATGTTTTAGTAAATTTTGATTTTGCAATTTCAGTGAAGCGCTACCAATGTTGCAAAATTTCGTGCCAAGGCGAGTGAACATCCGTGCACAGAGATTCTTTTTGGAGTTGAGTGAGGATATGAAATTGCCACTGCAATTGTACAAAAAGAATCAAGCACCGGATATGAAGATGAATTTCGCGAAAATTGATAAAGCAACCGGTGTGGAGGTGTGTGATCATGCGTTTTGACGGACAAGTTTTTGAGTTTTGAGATCGTGAGTTAGAATAGATTTGAGAGATTTGTTTGAGAATATGAGTGGTTGAGACGAATGAAAAGAAAGTAACTGAATTATAGGTGAAACGTGAAACAGTTTATGAAAGGCCTATAGACAGTAGCAGTAATAACGATGCAGCGGCATCCGAAGCAAATTCAGAGGGTACTCAAGGAGGTGTGCTTCGAAAAGAGGATGTCATCAAGGGTTTGTTATCTTCATTCGATAATCACGCTTATTATGGATAAACTTGTTATCGATACGATATTTTTT